CTCCTTCATGCCACCAACCAGGTGATCAAAAGTACGCCCAGTACTCCAAAATTATTCGGCAACCTGCCGCTATTACCACCAAACAGGTGATGAAATGTACAACCCGTACTCTAATATCATTTGGCAACTAGCCATTCATGCCACCAACCCGGTGATGAGATGTACAACCCGTACTCTAATTTGACAACTAGCCATTCATGCCACCAACCAGGTGATGAAATGTACAACCCGTACTCTCCTTCATGCCACCATCCAGGTGATCAAAAGTATGCCCAGTACTCCAAATTATACATGAGCATTACTCATGTCATTTCATACATAAACATTCATGACCATCATTCATGTCAACATTCATGAGCATCACTCATGACAACATCCATGAGCATCACTCATGTCAATCAACATAAACATTCATGAGCATCACTCATGTCAATCAGCTTCGAAAGCTTCATTTACAGAGCTCTAGCTTTAAAGCTTCACCTACAAAGCTTCAGTGCAGGGTATACAAATACCGCCCCCGAACAACCGCACTTCGGCCCATACATGGATTCAATTTGAAGTCTCCGGCCAACAGACTCTATTGACCGAAGACTTGAGGGACTACATTATGTACCATATATTGGGCCTCAACTGGGCCTCATGAAAAATACTTGGAGGACTTAGCCCATTATTTATGTATTGAGGAGCGAGCCCTTATTCTATAAAAGGAACTCCCTCACTTTCATTAAAGAGCATCCATTATTCATGTACTAAGGAACGAGCCCTTATTTTATAAAAGGGACTCCCTCACCTTTATTAGAGAGCAACGCCGCCAGCTGAGCAACCGCCTCGCCGCCAGCATCAACTCTAGCCCATTATTTATGTATTGAGGAGCGAGCCCTTATTCTATAAAAGGGACTCCCTCACCTTCAAACGCCGCAAGCTGAGCTAACCAAGGCAACATAAGCCACGAGCCGAGCAGCCTCGCAGCGTGTGCTACTTCTAGTTGAGCGTCATTTCAGATTGAGCACTGCCTTATATCGAACATCAGTTCAAGAACAGCATCTAGTTACTTCGGCCCACACATTGACTGAATTTCAAGTTTCCAGCCAAAAGACTCTCTTGACTGAAGACTTGGGGGACTATTGTTTATACCATATTTAGGGCCTCGTATTTAGACCTCGTATTAATACTCGAGGGACTTAAATGTAATTATATAATAAAGGAAGGGGGCAAATATGTAATTAGGGGAGGAGCCCTTATTCTATAAAAGGGCCTCCTCACCCTCACAAACCCTAAGCCTCTCACCCCCTCTCAAAGCTCTTCATTTACAGAGCTCCTTCTCTCACAAATACTCTCAGAGAAATACATATTCAATGTGGACGTAGCCCAAACCTTGGGGTGAACCACGATACATCTTGTGTCATTTATATTACATGCAGATTCACGGTCGGATTTACGTTGTTCCAAGACCTCCGGTTTTGTGCATCAACATTCTTACTGATCTGCAAGCCATTACGAACCATATTGTTAAGTTTTATCAGACTTTGTTTGGTTATTCTTTCATTTTGTCAGGTATTAATGAAGTTTGTGAGATCATTCAACCTATGGTCACTGAATCCGAAAATGTTTAATTATTTGCATTACCTACTGACAAGGTCTAAAATATCGATATTATCCCGATATTTCCGATATCATCGATATTTTAGACCTTGATAGAAACTCTATGTGGTACTAAGTCACTCATATATCTTATCATGCAATGTATAAAGTGTAAAATAGTGTACTAATTCATTATATATAAATGATTATGGTGTGTTTAAACTTCTTTCATTAATTACTTCATATTTTCTACACTCATAATGTTTGCCAACTCGCTATATAATCAACTTAAATCAGTTAAATCCATCATGCAATGCATTTCCTTCCAATTTTTTGTAATAAACTAATAGATAATTGACTAAATAAACATCCTGCAAAGTTTCAATAAAAATTTCCAAGTTTTTCTTACAATTTCCGTGGTTTTTATTTAATTTTTATCGATATCGATAATATCCCGATATTTCCATCGAAATTTTCGTGTTTTTGGACTACCGATATTTCCGATATCATTGATATTTTATACCTTGCAGACTGATGAGGAAATTAAAGAGTCAAATTTCTCTTTAAGTGCTTCTAGTGTACACGGGCCAAATGGTTTTCCAAGTTTTTTCAATATCATTGTTAGGATATTGTTGGCTATGATATTCAATTTGTGAAACAATTATTTCAATTGAACTGGTTAAACCCTATGCCAATAGTAATTTCTTAGCATTGATACTAAAGGTCAAAGTTGCTATTTCAATTACTCAATTTCGATATTTTGCCTTGGCGAATTTTCTTTTCAAGACTACTAGTAAAATATTGGCAGTTTGTCTTTCTTATGTTGTTGCACGCATGTTGTGACTATGAAGCATCATGTAACTTGATTAACGCCTGGATGAACCTGTTTATGGATACTTATTCCATAAAGCTGTCAACTTGCCCATGTACTCCTGGCGATCGGAAAACTCTTTGCATATCCTAGTTAGACTTAGCTCATAAGCGACGAGCACTTTAGCGCTCAAGATTACCCTCTTTTAAGCCCATTGGATCTTGAGCTTCTCAATCCCCTTTGGGTTTTTTGTGGAGTTGTAGGATATGTACTTGTCATATCACTTAGGGCAACTCTTCGTGTTAGGCTAATGGTTCTCATACCTCTTCTTCATTGACGGCAATCTACTTTTTGTCTTGTTCAGTTGCTTGGTTGTATGTGATTCCCATTGATAGCACCAAACTATTAAATTACAAACCCTTGATGGGCTTACAATATGAACTAAAATGAAATGGACTCAAAATGAGTGGTTCAACCCTTAAAACTAGGTTACATCCACCATGTTGCCCATATTTTATTGATTTTAGGATTATAACTAGCACTCGGCTAATGCATGAACTTTCTCCCCTTTCAATCGGCTGACCCCAATACAAGAGGTTCCCATCCCTTTATATAGACCCTCACTAAGTCCCCCAACCTTGGGCTTCCCTAATCTTGCATTTAATGCACAACATATGTAGACTAGCATACTGCCACATTTTCACCTATCAACCAGACATTCGACTGTGAAGTGACATGTGTTCAGTCGAGATGGACGAGTGATAAGGGCTGAGCATTGCGCTCAACTTAGTTATCCAACCCGGGCTCTCTAAGCATCGTTCCAACTACCTCTGCGTCTCATTCTAGGTCTTTGCTAGTGGATTTGAGTCACCACATGACCTAATTAACATATAGGTAGACCTATTCCTGGAGACTTATGCCAAAACTGTCAGCCTGCTCATGTGCCCATTGTAGTTGGAAAACTCTTTAAATATCCTGGTTGGGCTAAGCTCATAAGCGATTGGCTTTAGCGCTCGAGAGTATCCTTTATTAAGCCCCTTAGACCTTGGGCTTCCTGATCCCCCTTGGGTTTTTCGTGGCTTCTTTCCAGCCTGTACCATTTTGTGGGACTGAAAGTGCCCAATGTTAATACTTGTTGTTAAGTTAGCTCATGCATAGGGTTGGCAATATTCATGGCTTGAAAATAACTCTTCTAGTGTAGTATTTTGTTTTGCTTCTAGTTTTCTTTCTCTTCATTGGTCGCTCTAGACTCGTTGGAGAAATTGTTTTTCTTGGTTGCCACACATGGCTTTTCATTGCACTCAGACATTTCGAAAAGGGAATGTTGTTGCTGAAAAATTAGCCTATTTAGGGATTCTCTCATCTTCTCATACTTGGCATGCCGATCCTCCTCTTGAGATTCTTCCTTTTCTAAAATTAGATTTCTTAGCATGCCGACCTTTAGGTTTATCTCTCATTCTTGATGTTTCATTTTCTTTTTTACCTAATCCTTTTGGATATTATTTTTTGCTTTGCATCTTTTATTGCAGGTTCTTATATTTTGGTCCTATGTCCCCCCCCTTCCCCCTCTTTTCCCGTATTTTCCTTTTCAAGAAGGGTAAAGTTTATGTCCCCCTCTCTTTTCTTGTATTTTGTTTTTCTTGCTTTATAAGGAGTAAGGTTTATGTCATCCCTGACTTGGTGTAATTTTTTTTTTTCATATCAATAAAACTTTCTCATACCATCGAGGTTCTCAAAAAAAAAAATCTAGCGGGATCAGTCAATTCCTTCTTCTTAACAAATAACAAAGAAGTACACAAGGTAACACATGAAATACAGGACTAGTCACAAGAATTGCAATCCTAACCCGATGTTTCAAGGAAAATTGCTTAAGCCTAAGAGAAAACTTAACAGATCACAAAAAATACACAGTATAACACGGTGCAAGAAGAAATTGCTTGCGACATGATTTTCGAATTATGTCATGTATTATACAAACTTGCCAGATAGAATGAACCCCGAATCAATTTCGACGCTGAAATTCCACATCTTTCAATCCATATGGGGAAAATTTTAAATTGACACATAAAAAATATTTTAAAACCTCACATGATTAGTGTTGTATTAACTTATTAACCGATTAACACTTGAGCACTCCCATATATTTATAAATTTATAATAGTCCAATGTCCATCCCACCTAACAGATAAACATTAGACCATCAAACCACCTTGTTTTTTCCCCCTATGCGTGAAAATCAAACCAACCCCAAGTACCTTTTCAATCACTAGTAAAGGAGATCGCCCACCAACCCTCCAATGCATCATTTCTGGTTCACTTGCATACCAATTTCTTTATCTTTATGATTATTTTGAGAATTTTAAAGCAATGGCATGTCTAGCTATGCCTTGGTATAATTCCATAGTACTCAATTAGCAATTATGTAGCTAGTCTGCACTTCATCTTTCAAACATACGGGCCCCATATTTTTCAGAAAGGGTGTGTGATTAGTTTACTCAATTCGTAACCTAAACTCAATCGTTGATTCTTAGTCATGAAAATAGGTGGCCAACATCGATTTGGTGCAACATATATATATTTTTTTTTCCAAACCCCAAAGAGCCTTACTGTGACGAAAGAGATTAAAGCGTGTGAGAGATCAATTCTCCATCCATATATTCCTGTCTTTGGTTTATAAAATTGTAGCTGCCTTGCATATATTTATCTATCAATTTCAATTTCCATAAAAAGGACACAAGACCTGCAGGCATTAGCCGCGACGCAATAGAGATATCTCAACCCCATGTCATGCTCACCAAGTTGGTATGTCTTTCAGATTATTTCTTAAAGTTAGCTATCCACTCTAGTTGGTCTTCCTTAAAGTTAGTGTTACAACATTTTTATATCGATCCCCGATCGACCAACAATTCTCACTAACTAGCGCTCATTTATTCTTTCTCTAATGGGTTCACTTGGTTCATTTTCAAGTGTTGTACTATTAACCCTAGGAGTGCTACTAGTTTCCTTCTTTGTTAACCCGGCATGTTCCGCTTCAAGAAGAGCTCTCCGTCTTCGCGACCACCAGACCATGCAAAACGGGTTCAAGGTGACTCTCAAACACATTGATTCTGATAAAAACTTGACCAAAATCGAGCGTTTCCAACGCAGAATCAGTCGTGGCCGAAAAAGGTTGCAAAGGCTCAACGCGATGGTCTTAGCCGCTTCACCATCAGATCAGGATTCCGGTGTTACGTCTCCTGTCCACGCCGGTCAAGGAGAGTTTTTAATGAAGTTGTCGATTGGTAATCCGGCAGATACCTTCAACGCCATTATGGACACCGGCAGCGATCTCATTTGGACTCAGTGCAAGCCGTGTGAGGACTGTTATGATCAACCAACCCCAATCTTCGACCCGACAAAGTCCTCAACATTCTCAAAGCTATCATGCGAAAGCGAGCTTTGTGAAGCACTACCATCCCAAACATGCACCAACAGTTCATGCGAGTACTACTACGCCTATGGGGATTCTTCCTCCACGAATGGGATTCTCGCAACCGAAACGTTCACATTCGGAGACGTTTCGGTTCCCAAAATAGGGTTTGGATGTGGCAAAGACAATGAAGGTGGTGGCTTTGAACAAGGTTCCGGACTTGTGGGGTTAGGCCGTGGACCGTTGTCCTTGGTTTCGCAGCTCAAGGAGCCCAAATTCTCGTATTGCTTGACTTCCATTGACGACACAGAAGGTAGTAGCACACTTTTGATGGGGTCTTTAGCAAGCTTGAACAACGCTAAATCAGGTCCTGCAAATATCATAACTACCCCTTTGATCAAAAATCCAAATCGTGACCAATCAACTTTCTACTATCTCACCCTAGAAGGCATCACGGTGGGTGAAACTCGATTGCACCTTAAAAAAGACACTTTTACGCTCGGAGATGATGGGAGTGGTGGCCTAATCATAGACTCGGGGACAACTCTTACGTATATAGAAGAGGATGCTTTTGATGCACTCAAGAAAGAGTTCACTTCCCAGATTAAACTTTCGGAGGCGGATGCGACAGACACGGTGGGGCTTGACGCGTGCTACAAGCTGCCGAAAGACGTTAACTCTGGAAAGGTAGAGGTGCCAAAGTTGGTGTTTAATTTCAAGGGTGCGGATTTGGAATTACCAGGTGAAAACTATATTCTGGTGGATACGGATGTTGGGGTGCTTTGCTTGGCCATGGGGTCTGCGAGCTCGATGTCTGTGTTTGGAAATTTTCAGCAACAGAATATGTTGGTTTACCATGATCTTGCCGAGGAAACACTCTCGTTTGTTCCTACGAAATGTGACCAGTTGTGATCGAGTACTCGGTATTTGCCCTTTATTTGTGTTAAACTTTGACTGTGCCCACGTTTACTTTCCTCATCATTTAAAAAACTATTTTCTTTTCTTCTTAAACTAAAGTCGTGATGTGTTTAGCTAAATCTGCTATAAAGTAATGAATCAAATGAAAATAAAATTAGTCTATAATTCAGTTTTTAAAGATATTGAAATTTTCATACCACACTGTCATGGTATGGTAGCTGTAAATCCTAATTAATCTGTGTTTTTTTTTTCCTATTTATTTGTTTGCAATATATATATATGCATTTCAATGATCCAAACCGTTTATATTTTTATGCATCATTCATAGATCATCTTAACAAAAAATTAAACAAATCCAAAATCCTTTTAATTATACGGTAATTTGATCCTCTGATTTAGGAATTTATTTTCTCCCCACATTCTCCAACTACAATGGGTGATCATCACCATTCAACATATTATGAGCATCGCCGTACCATATATTGTAAGTAGAGTTTTCCCTTTTTCTTCATAAAAAACGATCATTTAATAATTATAAATTGATTTCCTTCCAGATTTAAACTCACTAATTAGGAGAGGATCAAATTGATTTTCTTTTAAATATATGTAAATATCACAAAGCCAATGATTCAGGCCTGGACAATGTATTTAACCTTGCTACAAAATTGTATATAACTTAAATCTGAAAGCTATTAAAATGTTACATTTATTATATTTATACCATTATTTATACTATCTCTCTAATAAAGGTAAAATTCACAAACACAAACGAGTCATATCTTTATTAAAATATATAATATAAATATGTGGTAAGAATAAGGGTTTAGAAAGAAAAAAAGTCGCTACAGATTTTGTAGTAACAGGCTCCATTCGTATTTGGCCCTTTACCATATGTGTCAAATACAAAAGGTTTTTACAGTGTTACAAATACCTATATCATAGCAAAGAGATGGAAGGAATGGTAAAATATCTTTCTGCCCTTTTCTTATTTTTTTGAAAAACAAAATTAAATTACAACGGAAATCTTTGACGGATAAGTTTCTCCCCTGTTGTGTGTAAAATGTATGAGTAATATTAGGAAGACTAAATTTGTAGGCTAAATTTGCAAATTAAATTATGTGTCATCAATAGAAAATAAGCACGTTTATCAACGTTTAAGTAATAATCCACTCATCAACTTTCATATCATTTAATTTACAAAATTTAATCTACAAAATTGGTCTCCCTAGCATTACGCAAAATATATACATATACCCCTCCAATGCAATGCAGGTCACTTCGTAGTCAAGAAAACCAAACAATTTAAACAAAGAAATAAAAGAGTCACGATGCGCCATCACTCCGTTGATCATGGCATCGAGTATCACCTTATCCTTGAGGCCTACAATGCGTCGGATAGGACGCTGCCTGACCCCCGCTTCACCACCGCAGGTTATGACGCCCTTATCCGGCACAAGCCTCCGCAGCATTTTAGGAAATTGAACTCCTTTGTTTTTAAGGAAAACTAATGAAATGGGCTTAAAAATTTTGAGTTTTAACGATAAAGACAAAATAAAGGATAAAGTGAATAGTACCAGGATTGACTTTTTAGTGTAAAAATGTGGTTTTTCATTAAAATGAACAGTACCGGGAGCTTTTCGTTAAAGTTCCCTTGTTTTTATTCCCGGAGAAGGAGACGCGCCAGTCCAACATTAAATTCGTTCCGTATTTTAATTGGTACCCTAAGTACGGACGTACTATTGGCTATGGACTATAAAGGATTGTTGATTTCTGTTGTAATGAATAAATGGAGGATAATATTATTACCCAATTCTTAATTTTCTCTGAATCTTTGTGTGTTTTATACGATAACGGTTTTCTCTGACTGGTAGAGGCTCACACACCATGTTTGTGTGAGCAGAATTTTTTTCAATTTTATTAGGGTTTGTGTGTGTGACAGTGAGCAGTAAAGGAAAGAGAGTGGTGACTGTTGAGGACAACTTTTTTAAGGAAGATGAAATGTGAGAGTCTAAAGACTCCGGGGTTTCATAGTACTTGAAAACTAGTTATTTAGGGCACGTTTGTTACACCTCCTTAGGAGGGATTGGCTTGGACTACCTTAAGTAGGACTATAATCCTACGTTTGGTAGGTTGTGGGACTAAAATAAATGGGACTCGCCTCGACTACGAGTCCCTGCGAGGCATGCTAGCCGGTCTTCACGAGTCCCCCCAAAAACCACGGGATTAGCTAGGAACTTCGCTTCGTTCTGCTTGATTCACCTCATCGACCTCGATTTCGACGGCATCTCTCTTCGTCCTGCTTGATTCACCTCCCTGCGAGCCCTTCTGTGAGTTCTGGGCTTCTTCCTCCTCCCTGCGAGGGTTCTTCCACCACCAACATCAACCAAAAAAAATCCCCCATCTCATATTTCCCACCACCAACCATCACCCACAAAAAATCCCCAATCCCATATTTCCTGCCGCCACCATCGCCATGGACGAGCCATCCGAGAAGCTCCAGAACCTCAAGTCGCTAAATTCTCTGCCAGCAGCAGGTGGAGTCGCTGGTGCAGGGCAAGGCAGATTTGGAGTCCGAGGAAGATTTGGGTGGACAAAAAAAAGAGAGAGGAAGATGAAATGGTAGAGAAAGAGGAGAGGGGAGGGATGCAATGGGCGGAAAAAAAAAAGAGAGAGGAAGATGTTCTAGAAAGGAGATGAAATGGCAGAGAAAAGGAGAGGGGAGGGCTGGCGGACAAAACAACGAGAGAAGATAAAAGGAAAATGATAATTTAATAATAAAATATTAGTATATATAGATTAAATTAATGATAAAATATTGTAAATATAAATTTAATAATAAAATATATTAGTCCTGCTTTTTATTCCGATACTACACCAAACGCTTCACTAAATCAGTCCAGCTTAGTCTAGTCTAAGCCAGTCCAGTTTAGTCCCTGAAGCTAGTCCAGTCCGAGATAGTCCGGTGCAACAAACGCACCCTTAAGAGTTTTGAGAGTAAGTTGTACTCACGGATTGCCATGACAGATCGTTGGAGAGCATACTTGAAAACTAGTGATTTAGAATTTTGAGAGTAAGATGCTTTGACGATTGAGCGTTCTACTCACGGATTGCCATGACAGATCAGTTGGAGAGCAAACTGAGAGTATGGGGCATTATCCTGCGGCGGATTCTATCTATGGTGGAGTCTTTGGAAGCACTAGTCGTGAGTCTCTCACTCCAATTTCGGATTTAGATATAAGGATTTGGCAATCATCACAATATGCAACAATAGAAGAGGGGCTATAATTAGAAGAACTCTGACCTGCCTCAGAACCTTATACCTCAGGACTTGGGAGTTGGGGAGATCACTAAGGTAGAGAGGGTTTAAGGCGGTAAGTATATTCCATATTTAAACCCATTCCCCCTACCGAGCCGACCCCCAACCCGTACAACATTGTCCAGGACCAGTAAAATGTATCTTGCAAGAATTTTGCCACTCGATCTGCACTTGCAAACTTCTGCAACAAGGTACCATTAAGACTTGACTTTCATGTTTGATTGCATGTAGTGAACTTGTGACATACTAATTCGGCAACAAATAAGCACTACATTTCTCATCAACACAATCATTCTTTTCACCAAATGAATTAAATTACTGTACAATAATCGAAAATCTCGTGTAGTTTTTGGCTGTACGTACATATGTACAAAGGAAAAAAGATACCCCTGCTGCAACATTAAAGAATGGAGGAAGAAAACAAATCTGTATTAATTCCATGGACCATGGGCAGCAAAATGTAAGCGCCAATATCGTCAACCCCCTTTCATATTGTCCATCAACTTCCTCATCCACCTGAACGGGAAATCTCTTCCCCAAAGCTGCATTAACAATATACCCGAGAGGGGGGAGGATGGGATTAGAAAGAGTGCTAAAGTTTCTTAATGTTTTAGTTATAAAGTATGGATATCGTGAAAATAGGGAAATGGAATACAAACTTTTGATTGGTAGAACGTTGTATGTCGCTTTTTTGGTATTCAACTGAGACAAAACCTTGAGTTGTTGCGATTGCTGGCTCAGGAGACCCCTGTGTACTCACAGTTGGAACGCTTCTGGAGCTTATCCCTATAGAAACAGTTCAACAAGCATTATGCTTTTACAGATATGATTGAGTAGGGCCAGTAATTAGAAATTAAAAAAAAATTATTTTAGTGAACAACTCAATGGATGGAGGACACAGTTAGGGACGCGAAGGTTACTTTGTTGGTAAAGTGAGTGATGGTAAGAACAGAGTTAAGTAAATTCAGTAAATAATCTACTTCACTATCAGTTCTGGTACATAGGTATATGCTCCCAATGTATTTATTCGAAAAACAAGTGGCCCCATTGGAGGAGTTGGAGGATGAACTGATGAGTTAAAGAACATGGACTAAAGCAACGGACAAAGTAACGACCAATAATCCATGTGTACATGAGCAGGCTTAAGAATACAATAGTAAAAGGGAATTTGTTATGGAAATGCAAATAACACAAACTTAGAAAAGGATCATTTTTCAAAGACTAGAAAGAGCTATATAAATTTCACAGCGAGGAGCCGGAAGAGAATTTATAGATTGCAATCTGAGCAAGGGTCACCCCTACAGCATCATACATTAGAATTCCGATGAATTCAGATCCTGACTAGTGCAGATAAGTATGATATTTGATATATTCTTTCAATTACTTTTCCTTTCCATCTTCAGTTAATTACTGTTTTTTGTACATGTAATGTACCCTGACTCGAATAAAGTTCAATTGTATACTTGGGAAATTTTCGGTTCAGTAGGTGCATATCAAAACAAATGCGAAAAACGACATGAAAACAAAGACCACCAATGAAATCAAGGAAAGAGCCAGAACCCACAAAAGAATAGGTAAACGAGACGACAAAAAGAGCAGCTTCAAGATCCCTGCTTAAACTCACAAATAGGAATACTAAAAGAGGATATATTCCAAAGAATCAATGCAGTGTTTTCGAATATAGATAAACCAATTTTTTCTTTCAATCAGTATTCAACCTTTCGGAAGTTCTGTTAAATCATCAGATGTATCTTATAAGCAACCGAATGAGACAAATTGTAGCATTCATTAATTATAGTATGACATACAAAAAGAAGGAAACGAAAGGAAAAGGGTCCAATTGAATGAGAAAAACAAATATTACCTTGAAAGATTACGACGAAGAAGAGTAGTGTGATGATCAGAGCAGATATGC